TCTGTGTCCAGGCTGTGGTCACTGATCTGCCCTCTCTGGACAGTCAGGTCTGTCTGTGTCCAGTTTCTATGTCCAGGCTGTGGTCACTGAGCCTGTCCTCTCTGGGCAGCCAGGTCTGTCTGTGTCCAGTTTCTATGTCCAGGCTGTGGTCACTGATCTGTCCTCTCTGGACAGTCAGGTCTGTCTGTGTCCAGTGTCTGTGTACAGACAGTGCTCACTGAGCTTGTCCCCTGTGGACAATCAGGTCTCTCTGTGTACAGACAGTGCTCACTGAGCCTGTCCTCTCTGGACAGTCAGCTCTGTCTGTGTGGTACAGTTTCTATGGCCAGGCTGTGGTACAGGGCAAAGAGCAACAAGACACCAAGTCCCCCAACTCTGGAATCTGGGGTATCCAGTGTTCCCAGGGTCTGTGTTCTAAATGCTGCCGATGATGTTGGGACCAGTGGCAAAGAAAGAAAGGGCCGTCCTGAGTGATTGAGTTTTCTCTGGAATGTGGTGAGCTGTTAGCACGGTGCTAATTAGCACAGCTGAAAGGGAAGTCGTTAAGAGCAGCTCAGACAGACGGGGCAAATATTTAATCATCCCTTTTGTCACCCCCTCCCCATGCCAGGAGACAACAGGGGGTCCCTCTCTGTCCTGATCATCTGGTCCCTGGTTTTCATCTGGAAATCCAGCCCTTCTCTCTTCCTCTCTCCTTCCAGCACAAGTCCCGATTTCAATTATTGGCCCCTGAGCTGCAACAGGGACAGTGCTATAGCATTTCATCGATACCTCTGGCACACGGAGGAAATCGGAAGTGTTGAGCTGGCAGGAAGGCAAGGACTGAGGAAATCTAAGGAAGATTACCAGAAAAAGAGGGAGTCTGTTTGGTAGTTATTGGGAGTCTGTCTCCCAGTAATGCTCCTTCTGTCTACAGTATATGTACATATTTTATAATATGTCTTTGTTGTAAATGTCTGTAATGTGTCTGTAGATTTTATTTTACTTTTATTTTTTGTTTTGTTTCATGGGAATTTTGTTATTTTCATTTGCTTTGGCAACACTGATTGTACCCATTGGTCATGCTAATAAAGCACCTTGAATTTAAATTGAATTTAATTGAATAATTGACCTAAGCATCCCAAAGTATCCGCTTCAACCCCTTAGCTGGGTAGCTTGTACCCTGCTATTCTGTACTCCCCCAGTCTGCACCAGAGAAAACTGTCTTATTATAGCTTGGCATTCCCATGGCCTGAAGTAGCAGAGAGCAGTGAAGGAATGTTGACACCACAGTATAAACATGGTAAGATCACTATGGTAAACATCTTTTCTTTTGCGATCTGTGACGTTCGCACTGTTCTGCGGCACTTGGTCCGTGTTGTTATAGGGGCTGTGTCAATACTTGCAGTCCCTCACCAGGGTAGACATTGTCCACTCCGTGTCGATCTCTCCCTGCCGCCTGATGCCCAGCTGTGCAAACAACGGTCAAACAAAGGTGGACACGCAGGATGCGAGGCTGCAGTGTGGTGGAGGGGGCTCTGGCTGTCCTCGGAGTCACCCCGCTCCTGGCAGAGCCAGACATAGGAATGACACAAGACGAGTCACAAACGAGAGGAGGCCCTAGCCCGTTGGGTTGTTAGCACTTAGTGGACCTGAGAATCTCAGTCAGCCTTTTCTGTGAGAGAAACTAAGATATCGGCTTCAAGAATATGGTCGGGTAGCTTGTTCCACACTCCCACCACCCTTTGTGTAGAGAAGCCCCCCCTGCTCTCAGTTTTAAGTGCACTTCTACAGTTTCCACTCGTGTCCCTGGCTCATGTTTCACAGTTCTGAAACAACACGCTTCACATTCTGAAGAAACACGCTGGGTGGACTTTGTTAATGTCTGAGACTTTTGCCGGCTGTGCTGCAGTCTAGTGACCACACACCATCCTTTGATCTTAATTCTACACTAATCACCATACATCCTAAGACGCTGTGTTTTTTATTCGTTTTCCACGTGAAGATGTGTGAACATACACACCCCAGGCTTTTCCAAAGCCCACAGGCCAGCAGCTGAATCCAGAGACACAGTGTGCTTATGTTGCCCCCACTTCACCATGCATTTATCTCCCCCCCTCATTAGAATAACTGAAATAACAACTTAGAATTAAGAATTGTTTTAGAATAAGAATGAAGAATCTAATTTTTCAGCGTTTGTCAAGAAACTCACAACCCTGTACAGCTGCTCACACGGCAGACAGGAAAGAAACATCATTTATTTTTTCATGTGATAGCACAGAACTCACTCATTTTTTTTATTTATTTGTAATACGCATTTTCTTTTTTAATTTTGTTTATTTCAGAGAACAAAACAAAACCATTTTACATATGAACAAGCATTATTCAGCCTTACATCGCAGGCACAAAATCCTGTTTGTTCCCCTATTTTTTACAATTATATAACTTTTTAACAAAACTATATACAATCAAAAGAAGGAAGATGTATACATTTATGAATATGAAAAGGGAGGAAACTATATAAATGTATCTTATTAAATTTCAGTTATTTTGTATCTCAAGAAAATCTGACCTTAAAGGTTTAATGTACTGAGCCCATCTAGCCTAATATTTAACCATTTTTTTCATTTGTAATTTTAGTGAAAATGTTATTTTTTCCATTATATATAATATATTTCTTTTATTAATTCAATCCAATCATTCATTGCTGGTAGATCTGTGAGAAGCCACTTTCTTGTTATAGCTTTCTTCCCTGCTGATATAAGGATTCCAAACAAATATTCATCAGTTCCCCTCCAATCAAAATCCAGTTTACCAAAATATAAAGCCTCAAATGTATAGGGTACATTCCTTTCAAATGTATTACGCATTTTGTCACAGTCGTCCACTGAGGACCGCGTGGTCTCCAGAAAGCCGGATTTCTCGCGGCTCCCGCCGGCAGGCTTGCGTCCACGGTGACGTCAGACGCAGCCTCAGGAATTCAGCGCAGCAGGCCGAGGAGAGTCGGGGCCGTAGCTGAAGCAGTGTTTATGTATGTTTACATTACCCAAGATTAGGTGGGATTTGACTCACTGGCGCTGTGTTGAATCGATTTATTTGTCATCTGTTTAAATTTCTCACTTTGAAAAAGCCCGTCGCGCTGCTGTAGAACGAATGCGGAATTGTTTAATTTAGAATAGAAAGCGTTTAATCTGATTAGGAACAGTTTTTAGTTTTTGTTTTAACCGAAACATTTAATTACTTGCTCGTTATGTTTTGTAATCTCATCATCTAGACCATCGATTAACCTGTTAACTAATTAAACTGATCGCATTGTGTTTGTAACAGTATCACATCAGCGGTCACTAGGAGCTGTTGTAAAAGATAGTGGTAACCGCTTTAACAGCGACAGACAAGTTTAAATCTTATTTATTCACTAAACTGTGGCATTACAACGGGGAGATAGTGCAAATCGTAGTTATTTAAATAATATTTTTTGAAATAATAGTATTAGTAATTAAAGTCATTTACTGCAGTCGTGACAAAGTCTGAGAACACACACACGTGATTTTCTTTATCAAACGGACTAGATGGGCTGACTGCCCTCTTGTCCTCTTATTTGATAAGATAAGATTTCTTGTCTTCTCATCTCTATAATCATGTGCATTTCGTGTTGTCAGCTGGCAGCACCCGCGATCTGTGGTGGAGACAGACATGTGCAGACACTGTGGAGTATAACGTGTTGCTCACGGGTCGTTTCTTCTCGCTCCCTGTGCCCCAGCGAGCAATGGAGGGACCGAGGAAGTGTTACCCCCCTCTGCGCCGGGTGCTGGTGTCTGGTGGCACCCACGGCAACGAGCTGGGAGGGGTTTATGTGGTGAGACACGGCGCCCCCTGTCTGCGGAGACCCTCTTTCAGCACCCAGACGGTGCTGACCAACCCCAGAGCCACAGCCGGCGGGGTGCGCCACATCGACACCGACCTGAACCGCTGCTTCACCCTGGAGGCGCTCAGGTACCGGCGCCGGTCCGAGCGGGGCTTTCAGTCCCCGCCCGACAGACTCGGTTTTCAGGTTCAAGGAGCTTTGCTGGCGTACCAAACACATTACTTCGTCACTAAACCAGTAATAAAAAAAAAACCCAAACATTTACAACAAAACTTTATTATTGGAAACTTACAAACATTTTTATTTAGAGGCTTCCTCTCTCTGTTCCCCAGGCTGTGACAGAGTTCACATACTCTATTGCTCAATTGAGTTCCCTCCCCCAGCAGGACTGAAAGTTGTTCTGGTACTGGTAGGTGTGGGAAATCTAGGGCTAGATTTGTTATTTTAAGAAAGAATGTCAAATCCCAGGGTATTTATTGCATTGCTATTCTCTGTCTCTGCCTTCCCCTGCTGGCAGTGGGAGCATAGTGTTTTCCCTTTGGACAGTTAGGTCTGTCTGTGTCCAGTGTCCATGTACAGGCTGTGGTCACTGAGGCTGTCCTCTCTGGACATTGAGGTCTGTCTGTGTCCAGTGTCTATGTACAGGCTGTGGTCACCAAGCCTGTCCTCTCTGGACAGTCAGGTCTGTTTGTGTCCAGTGTCTATGTACAGGCTGTGGTCACTGATCCTGTCCTCTCTGGGCAGCGAAGTCTCATTGTTGCCATGTTTCTGTGTCCAGGCTGCAGTCACTGTGGTGTTTTTCTTTGCACATGTTCTTACAGACCTCTGTCTGCAGGGCTTCTATGGGGTGTTTGTCCTGTTTAGTGTACTGTAATCCTGGTCTGTGTTTGGACCCCACACTTAATTGCCATATAAGGCATGAGCTGGATTACACTTTCAAATATTTGGAGCCAGCTTTTTACCGAGATGCTAATATTGTTGAGTCTGTTTCTTACAGAGTAGAAAGCCCTGTGTGTCTTCTTCAGTGCCCTTACTGATTTCTGGACCATGTAATTGTCATTGATTGTGTACCAATGTGTTGTTGTGCAGTGGTATTTGTCTCTCTAAGATGTATGTGGCTTTCATCTGGAAAGCCATG